CCGTCACGCGAGACCCACGTCTTCCTTTATAGTATTAGAGAAGAGAAGGAAGGGGACGTAGAGACCAAGAATCTCAAAATAACTTTAAATAAGAGAATATAAAAAAAATAATAACATGAACTTATAGGAGTATCCTATAATAAAGAGAATAGCTTATTTTTAGTAAGACAGCGTGAAGTGGGAGTATACGCCAGGAACAAGGGATTCTCAGCGAACCTACTCTAGCGAATTCAAATGTCTACAATGTTAGTCAAAATCCTTTCTTGATTAATCTGGTTTGTATATCAGAATATAATTTAAACCAGAAAGATAACAAGAGCAGGATGTTTACATACAGGACTTGTTCTCAAAGTATGACAGCTTAGTCGACATCTCTCAGATCGCGGGGACTTAGTGATTTATGCACACATGGGAACATGTTGCTAGACTGCCCAAAAACCGCTAGTACTAGAGATTATCATTCCTCTAGCGAAGGTGGAAGAGAACGAATGGACAGATATATAGTCAACCGCAAATGGTTTTCAGGATATCATTCCCAAGAAAAGCAAGTGGATAGTTGAGTCTGAAACATAGACCAACGACATACTTTTTCATATTAGAAAACCGATCAACAGCGGTGCATATCAGCTTAGAGGGATCTGACAAGCCGCTACAGTAGGTTTCAAATTTGCATATGAGATCAAGGACAGTCCACAGTCCACACTTCATGTAGGAGAATGAGTCTGATTGCTGTTTTCCACACTTCAAAGGAAGACTTTCGGGCAAGCACTTTCCGTCAAGGAAAGAGCTCGCCACTGGTGGGGACATTCGGGCACTGGCTTGTGCAAGCGGTAGCGCTGCTGGAGAGTGTGCTCGTGAGTTGCTTGCTGTGTGCTAGCGGATGCCGGGCGCGCGCGGGCATCGAGGAAGAAGACAAGGCACTGCTGAAGTCAAAGGTGAGAGAGAGAGAGATGAAGTTGATGATGTGAGGGCACGTACCTGGTATTGGCGATGGTCTACAAGGTCGACATCTTCATGTACTTCGGTTGTTGCTGCTGATGTCAACAGGATGCATTGTAGCTGTGTGATCGTAGTCTGGGCGCTGAGCGCCAAGTAGGAGGAAGGACTCTGGATATGTGTTGGTGGTGGCAAGAGTATGCTCTCATTGACCTTCAGATTCAGTGCTTTGGTTCTCCGTTGGTGAAATATCAGTGCATTTCTGCTCTCTGGACAGCGTTGGACTTGCTCGCTTTCAATGTGATTATGCACTCTGGATTTCTGTCATTTCGAATAGTTCATTTCTTGTTTTTTTTTTTTTTGTTAAAGATTTTCTCCTTCTTTTTTTTTATATTTATTTCGAGTAGCCACGTTTTACCGTTTATCAGTTTAGGCCCTTTTGGTGAGATAATTTTGACCCTCTAGGTGATGGGGAGATGCTGTCTGTTTGATTACATGCTTGTACCCTCCCGACCTACCTCAAGGTTTCCTGTTCCGTCCTGGCATCCGCACGTCTTCCTCCGCTGAGAGGCATTGGTAAGGTCTGACACGTCAGCGGTGGCATGTCAGCAGCTCGATTTGAACAAATAACCTGCCCAATTTTTTCTTGAATTTTTGAGACTTTTACTGCTCCCTGTGGCTGGATTCAAACCTGGGACCTGTAAGCAGAATTCCTGTACGCCAGGGTTACATGTGCAACTCTATAAGAGAGGCCATGCAACAAGCACTAGTGGGGGACGAAGTATTTGGACCAATTGTCCCCCGTCTGAGAAATAATCGACTCTCCAAGGATGAGTATTATCTACAAGGTAATATTTTTTCTCTCACCAACAAGGGTAGGTAAGAATGTGTTCCCTGACTCTGGGCCAGTGAGTGAGGGTGGCATCCAGGCGTGAGTTTTGGGACCTTGTACTCGAGCTATGAGGGAGTCTCTGCAAATGCTTTCAGAATTTTCCTTTTGCGTTAGAGGGGCGCGTCATTCCTGGATGGTAAGCAGGCGATTTGTGCAGTGCTGTTCGAGTCCTGAGCCGTCTCTCTTCAAGGGGTTCCATGGCAGCTCCTTCATTCCACTGGGTGTGGTAGCAGCTGTCAAGATTTTTCGATGCTGTGGTGCTGGCTGGTGGCTTGTTTTAGACACCCTTGCTCATCCTCTTGTCATGACTGGCACCTGGCTGTTACATGCTGAGCCTGCACACGGGCCCCGTTTCAGGGGCCCGGCGGTTGCTGGGGGCCCCCAGGTCGCACGACATTCAAAAATGCGCCCTGGAGGCCCACGGAGGGCCGCAGGATTCGATTTGAGGCAGCATTTATTTATTTATTTATTTATTTGCGGTCCTAGTTTTGTCTGTTCAGGCGTCGTTTCGGACTTGCAGTTCGTCTGAACAGATTTTCGGTCTGTTCCGACAAAGGCCACGTTTTGAGCCTTCTTCGTTCGCAGTCAGGCCCTTTCGGGCCAGGTTCCTGTTGTCCAGTAGCGCTCCCTGTGCATGGGTCCTGGGGACCATCTCACGCAGATGTGTACATGTCATGCATCATCTCCACACGCAGTGATCAATAGTCTCAACCATAGACAAAGGTAGAGAAGAAGAGGACCTAGTCTCACAGCTTATATTATCAGAAATATGATTACAAAGTGTTTCGAAGTTCCCCTGAGTCCAGCGCTCATCCGTGCAACACAAATCTCTTGTCAACTCATCAATATGCCTTTCAAGGCATCAGCGCTACCGCTGCAGATTGTCGCCCAGTCATCAATATGGTCACAACTCATCAGCGCCAATTCTGCAGTTCACAACCAACTCAGGTAAGTGTCTCCCATAGCCAAACCTTGAATGAACACTCTTCGTCTCAATCTCTTCCTCCTACGATGCATGCACACACTGTTCTCACAAGGATCTACTCTGAATACTACTCATAGCTAAGTACTAACCCTTCTACTCTACTTACTARCTCGCTGGGCAGCTATGGCTGCATCCCTTCCAGCGCACGGTCTTCTTCTTCCCTCTTAGCGCATCTTCCTTCCTCCAGCGCTACTCCTACTGACTAACGCACAAGTGCACCAGCACTTCCACGCATTCAAGCCAGTGGAGATCTGGCGAGGAATGAGGCAGGCAGCTTTCTTTATAGTGCTGACTACTCCTTGCTGGGTCTGCATTGGCTCAATTCGGCCTTCCCTTTGTCCCAGACCCTGCATTGCATGTGTCCCAGTAGAGTCCCAATGAAGTTCAACTGCTGCTGAGGCCTCTCGGCCTGTATTTGGACTTGAAAGTCTGGATCTGGACTGATCCCTTGACTTAGACCCAAACTGGGACTGTGCCTATTGACTTTACTTTCGGACAGGCACAACTCTCAACGAACAGACACATTTACTGTTTGAACAGACACTTCCCTTTGCACGAACAGGTACACTGCCTGCACGTACAGACACACTCTTATCCAAACAGACGTGACATACACAGCTCCTGGTGAACAGGTAAGTCCTATGACAATGCCTGTTGCCTTAGATTTAGATGTGCCCGTTGATAGAGAACTTGACCTTTGACCTGCTTTCACGTTTCTGAGCCCTGGCGAGATACCTTTTCACAATGCTTTACTTTTTTAAGGCCCATGCTGCTTTAGTTGTACAAGGCCTGAGGCCTATATCGGGTAAAGGCCCTTTTACCTGCTGCATCAGCAGGGAGGGCCTGGACGTCCGGTAGGGACCCAGGCAGGCTGTTTCAGGCCAAGGACCGGAGGCACACCAGCGAGGCCCAGTTCTACTTATAGCTGGGCCAGGCCAGGGAAGACACAGTTCGAGTAGCTCACTTCTTGGGCGACACGCTGCTGGAGCAGCGCGACACGGCGCTCTAGGGAGTAGAGGAGTAGGTAGGGCAAGGGGCGGAGGCCATCCTGCAGCGGCGCCCAGGCGCCATAGCCGAGCTCCGCGCCGACGACCTGCAACACAGTGGCGGCCACCTCTGCAGGTGAGGACAGCGAGGAGGACGACGTCATCTTCTTCTTCCTCGTCCTCCCTCTCCCATCCTCCTCTTCCCACCTTCTTCTTTTTCTTCTTCTTCTTCTTCAAAAGAGAGAGAGAGAGAGAGAGAGAGAGAGAGAGAGAGAGAGAGAGAGAGAGAGAGAGTTTACAGGTAGAGGTTACATCGGGCTATGAGGCCCAGGATCTGATACGACATTTTTTTTGTGGCAGACATTGATTGGACATTGCGCGGGGAGACTATTTTTCGACGTCGCTATTGCGATCTTGGTCTTCTCCCTCCTCTCCATCTCTGCCTCGCCTCGCCTCTCCCCCATCTCCTCATCCATCGTATCTCCCCATGTGCGTGCTCACGGAGGGACCTTTCCTCTATGTATGCGGTCCCTCCTCTCCCTCTCACATCTGTGGTGTATGATGGGGTGTCGCATAAGTATCTGACAGGTCAGATCATATCTCTGAGTCTTCCGTTGTGCTACATTGTGCTATTTTCGTATGTATCTGGATGTACATTGCTTGTTGATACTTTGCTGACGCTGCATTGTCCACTTGTCCTTTTCATCATTTTGCGGATCCTTGGCTCCATATGCATTGCTCTAACGAGCATGAACCTGGACCAAAACTGCTAGGGCTGCTGTTTGCTTTTGATGTTTTGCTGCTGGTGAGATTCAAACCTATAATCTTCACCCTAATAGAACGCTTGGTCATTATATTGTACATAGACTGGATGCCGTGCCAAATACAGCTCTAAGGACCGCACGTTCGATTCAGGACAAGACGGCAGGACCTATCAGTAGAGTCCATGGGTACCGCGGCTGAGATTCCACCCGGACCTATGAGCAGAGTTCATGGCTGTTTCGCTGCTGACATTTTGCTTCTAATCAAAGCTCTGTGAGTGATAATTGCTGGATCAATGTCTGGTATAACCTCAACAGCCACAGGTGCCATCTCAGATACCAGCATCAGTCCAATCCAGCCCTATCAAAGAACAGCACATGACCAAAACAAGGCCCCACACAAGACGAGGGAAAAGCACAGAGGCCGAGAAAACACTCACCAGAGAGGCCTCTTTTGGTGTCCGTTGATAATCCCCCAGCAGATCCCACTGCGGCGACACCGTTGCTAGCAGGGATACCCACCATTCCTGCTTCCTGTCCAGAAACCATTGGACCACTGCCAGCACCAACAGGCATTGAACCCGACATATTCATTGACTGCACAGGCATGACCGATGGCTTTTGCAAATGACTTTCATTCATGGAGGACGCCACAGGGGCTCCTCTCTGCAAAACCGACTTTGCTGCTCCGAAAGCATCGGACAAAAGCACCAGGTGTTGCTGCTTTGGTGCCATCATCTCCATCGAATCGCCCATCTGTTGACTTCGTGCCTGCAACAAAACAATGGATGAGAAAATCCCTGGTAGATCAACACGACGCCCACCAGAAGAAGACCGCCAACAAAACGTCATGGAACAATTCCTGCGCCTGGTCCACAGAGGCCGACCACCTTGTAGGTGATTTATAGCATGAGCTCATGCAAGCACTCTCATGAAGAATGCAAACACTGCCACACACTCAACAGTTGATTCACAACCAGGTACGTCAACGGAGGTCAGCAGGCACCTCTTCACTGTCCAGTCCAGACATCCAACCCAGATGAAACCGCTCTGTACGCATTCCCCGCGTCATGTTTTATGTTTGTACTCTTCTTCCCAGGGTTAGATGTACGTACACTCCCTCTGCCGCCTCAGTTTCCCTGTACAGGCAAGAGCCCAGGCAAGGTCAGAAGCACCCTCACCACAGAATTAAGAAAAATCGAAAATTTCAAAGACAACTGGAAAAAATAATAAAACATCTTGTGTAGAATTGTAAACCAACTACTTTTGGCCCAGGGTCACTTTTTGAGATTCTTCATAAATAGTACAGAATTGAAGGCAAACATGAAGCAAATACTTTATAGTTTACAAGTAGGGCCCACACACCTTCACTCGCATGAGTAAGGGTTATAGCTGAAGGTACGATAAGTTGGTGAGAAATTCGGACGTCAGGTGGTGTTGAGTGACCCTTCAATGGTCAAAGGCAGGAGGAATGGAAAAAAATCATTTAAAATGTCAAAAAAATTGGGAGCAAAAAACAGATGACTGAGTAGCAGGAGTGCTCACCTGGGTAATGTTTTATTCTGTTTAAGCAAATTGCAACAGCAACAAGAGAGGAGTGAATGATGTTGCGGTCGGTAATAGCGGAAGAGTTTACTTATAACAACAATCAAGAAACGAAACTGGTGCGTTGCAAAACGCAGCTGGATTCTAAAGACAGCTATAGGGGAGTACATAAGTGATATTGCAACAACAGGAGAGGGAGCAGTACTGGGACTGAAGAATGGGAGACGAGAAACAGAAGAACAGAGGCGAGTTCGTAGGGTGTTACGCCATTGAGTGCATGTGAACAAATAGGACATGATTAGTGTTACAGTGGGAACGCAAAATGAAGAGAGGAAGGTAAAGCTGTACAGAAGATGTAAACCATAAATCCTGGCACAGAATTGAGACACAACCAAGCAAATTTAAGAGAGTTCTCACGTGGTCCTTCGTTGTTGTGTTGCACATTGTGGCAGAGATGAAACAAAGAGGCCAGTTAAAAGAAATGCATGTGAAGAGTACCGGATTCAACAACCCTAAACCCTAAAGCACAAACACAAAGGGGAATCCAATTACTCACAACTATGAAGGCAACAAAGATGACAACTGAAAAAAATGGAAGAAATTGGAACAGGAATGGAAGAGGTGATCAGAAATGTGATCTGTGATTGAGCACGATGGGAGAAATGACATGGGAGGACTGCAAACACCGCTAAAAAACAGATGTCGTTCGTCTGTCCATCCTTCCACCCGCCCGCCTGCCCACCCGTACACCCACCCGTCCGTCTGCCCACCCACCAACCCGCCCACCCACCCACCCACCCCTCCGCCTCCCTGCCAGCCTGCCCGCCCTCCGTCCCTATCTCCGTCCTTCAATCGGTCCATTGGTCGTTTGGTCGGTTGGTCAGTCCGTTGATCCGTCGGCACATTAGTCTGCTGGTCAGTTGGTCGATCAGACGAACCATCGGAGGATGAACCATCAGTCAATCCATCAGTTGGTCTGTCATTTGGTCGGACGAACCATCGGTTCGACATACTGGCGGTCGCTCACTCGCTCGCTTGCTCAGCCTGTCCGTCCATCCGTCCATCCATCGGGTTTATCCGTCCACCCGTTCGCCCATCCATCGGTTGGTCCATCTGTGTCCTTTGGTCGCTCCGCCAGTCGGTCTGTCAGTTGGTCCGACCGTCCGTCACTATGTCCGTTGGTCTGTCCGTACGTCCATCCGTCGTTCTGTCCGTTGTTCCGTCTGTTGTTCCATCCATCGGTCTGTCCGTCTGTCGTTCCGTCAGTCGTTCCATCCATTGCTCTGTCTGTCATTCTGTCCTTCGCTCCGTCTATCATTCATCCGTCCGTCTGTCCGTTCATACGTAATCTGACTGCCTACTGTCTATCTGTCCATCTCTAAAGCGGTAAGACGAGCAAGACGGCAAAAGATCACGACATAGAGAGCAAGAGAGAAACGACGACCAAGATTAAAAGAGAAAGGGAGATACAGAGAGAGGAGGGGGGGAGGGCGGGGGGAGGGGTGAGACGGAGAGGGAGGGAGAGCTAGAGCAGATGAGAGAGAGAGCTGTTTCGCCAGACTTTCACCGTCTCATCAGGAGGTTGAACCCCAACAGTCTGCCCCGGATACTTGTGTGCCTGCTTGCGTGTGTACATCTGCATGTGTCTCCATGTGTGTGCTTGCATGTGCACGTGTGCGTGTGAGTGCGTCTGTAGTCGTTTCCGATGTACATCTCCATAAAAAAGCATGACTGTGGCAGACAGTTTTCCCACGCTTTTGTTGTGCTGTGCTGCTGCTGCTGCGCTGCCAAAGGGTTGAATGGCGGAGCAGTTCGTGCTTTATCGGCGGACAGGTCTGAAGTTCTCTGAACTTTACATCTCCATAAAAAAGCATGCTTGTGGCAGACAGTTTCCCCACGCTTTTGCCTGTCTCTTATACACATCTAGATGTGTATAAGAGACAGCTTTACATCTCCATAAAAAAGCATGCTTGTGGCAGACAGTTTCCCCACGCTTTTGCTGTGCTGTGCTGCTGCTGTGCTGCGAAATGGTTGAACGGCGGAGCAGTTCGTGCTTTATCGGCGGACAGGTCTGAAGTTCTCTGAACTTTATTCGGAGCTACCAAATAGGGGACCACCCCGCCTGGAACCAGTTTAAACGTTTTTTCCTTAGACCTGGCGGACCCAGTCTTCAGGGGACCGCTCCCAAAATTCATTCGGGCTGCGAATTTCATTCGTTTGGGCTGTAAATATCTAAGCTGGGCCGTTGGCCCAGTAGTACCAGGCTGACGGGCCAGGATCGTCACACAATCTTCAAATTTTAAGATCATGCGACGATCCTGGCTCATGGCTTGGTAGGACCATGGATGGCCTAGCTGTTTGATTTCTCACACTAGCGATTTTTGTAGTATAGAGCAAGGTTGCACCCCCCGACGGTCGGTGGCCCTTGACTGGCCAGCTGCCAACCCGCCCACCAATCGGCTGGTCGGCACCTACCAGTCGAGGGTCGTTGGCACCCTGCAAAAAAAAAAAAAAAAAAGAAGGGGTCCAGAACCCCTAATAACACCACCAACACCCCATAGCAGCCCCCAATACCCCCATACACCCCCAAACTGCCCCCAATACCCCCTATATCACCCCTATAACCCCCTATTACCCCCCTATACTCCAACCCCAACCCTCCCATACCCCCCCAATCCCCAAAAGTTTCTCAGCGGATTTGGGCTGTACTCAGCAAGCGCAGTACAGCCCCCAACTCAGATTTGAAAAAAAATCAGTGGATGGTTGTTTTCCGACTGGTCCGCAGACCGCCGACTGGTCGGCCCTACTGGTCGGCTGCAACACGGTCGGTGTTCGGGGTCGGCAGTTGGCAGGGATGCAATAGAGATAAGATAATGATGGGCGATGACGAGGGGAAGATAATGGAGGTGGTACAACCGGGGGAGAGACGACATTCTTTTCGACTTGTGTTTATCTTCTTCTTCTTCTATTCTTCATTCCTCTTCCTTGTTTTTTATTTCTTGTCATTTGAGTTGCAATTGAGTGGCATTGTGTCTTGGTGAGTTTTGCATTTGGAAGCTGAACAGGATCAGGGCACTAGATATAAATAACACCCGCGGCCTAGGCTGCAGGCAATTCGGTCGCCGTGGCCGGAAAAGTCGGCCGCGGCCACGGCCAGGAGGCATAGTTTGCGGCCCGATTTTTTGGATTTTTTTGGGGGGTAAGAAAATAATGCAAGGAAAATGAGCAACAGCGAGATGATAATATCCAGAATGCACAATCACATTGAAAGCCAGATAGTATCTCAGTGTCCAGAAGGTGGCATTGCACCAATATAACACCAATCGAGATTCGTAACACTGAAAACCAATGTCAATGAGAGCTTGCTCTCGCCACCACCAACATAAGAGTCCAGTCCCTTCTCCCTACTTGGCGCTCGGCGCCCAGCCTACTTCCTACACAGCTAATGTCAATGAGAGCAACTGTTGACGTCAGTGGCCAACGAAGTACTTGAAGATGTCGCCCAATGCAGACCATCATCAATACCAGTATGTGCCCTCACATCATCATCATCATCATCCTTCTCTCTCTCCCCTGACTTACACCCACGTCTTCCCTCTGTACACCCGAAGACCACCCCTGCGCCTCACTGTAGTCCAAGCCCCAGCCAGCTATGGAGGCTGGGCTCAGCAGCGCCCTGCTTCCTGCACGACCGCACGCGCACAGAACCTTGCCCTGAGCGCTCAGCAGCCTGCGAGCAATTGCTGCAGCAGCGCTGGCAAGTGCCCGAATGAGAGCCCAGGTCAGCGCCCTGACTGGCCTGGGTGTTACGGACTCCGCCAGGGCTCGATCCCTGGTCTATCTTTTTGCTGTTTCGGCTGCATCCTGTTTTTGGCCTGGCACCCTTTTTCCAAACCCCTCCTTTGGTACCGTAGGATTTTGGACAACTGGCGCCATGCTGCAATTCGGGTGCCACTTTCAAATACCGCATTTTTCAGTTCTGCCCTCGGGGTCTTTGCAGAAATGCCCCTGGTACCGTACGTGTCACCGGTACTTATACCGGCTCCCTGTACGGTACGGGGACGAGTCTCGTACACAGTTTTCTGCTGCTGTACTCGTACTCAGTATGACTTGCTGTTTCGGCATTCGGAATCCAAGACTTCGACTTTGTGCCTTGCCATTGTGTCTGCGTCCGACCCTCAGTCCGAGTCAGTCATGTCGAGGGAGGGAGTGTGTGTGTATGCTCT